GGATCCCTCAGCCTGGCCTGTACCTTCTCCAATCCAGGACCCTTCAGGGGATGCCCGACTGCCTCTCGAAATCTGGGACCACTAGCTCCTAACCGCTTGCCTGTTTGCCTGCCTGATGGCTCCTAACCCCTCTGTCTGCCTGCCTAATCGCCCCTAATCACCTCTGCCTGGGATATGACTGGATAGCTAACATACAAGGGAACTTTCTAACTTTTCCATGTAAGATGCCTGTCAGAATCATTCGGTGTACTTGTATTTAATATTTTATAATGTCATAATTATGTGCATTCCTCAACAAATCCACAAGCAGTATAAAAATCCACAAGTAGCATAAAAATAAAGGGTAATAAAAGGTGTTATTTCTGGTGTCCACTCCCCAGGAGTGTTCATTTTTTACACACATTGGCAATGGGAACACAAAGACCACAAGGAAGTGCATCCACGTAGCTCCAAGGGAAGTCCCAGCGTACTTAGGGAATTGCCGAATGAAAGCAGAAGAATGTCATGAGACACCTGGGACTCTTGTTCTTCATGTCCGAATACACAAACTTCTGAAGCATGTGGCATTACTCAACCAGGGCAATGCTGTCTTTCTAGAGTGCATTTTAGAATGTGCAGATAATTTAAACTTACACAGTGTTATTTGCTAATTACATTTCAATAGAGCTGGGGGGAAAAAAGAATGTGCAGGTGCTACTGGCATATAATAGGCTTGGAATAGGAATGCTAAATGTCTTGCAAACAGTGGGAGATTCCTGCAGCATAAAAAAATTGAAACGCTCAAAATAGCACCTGGCCTTCCTGCATGGATGATCACAAAGAATTCTCTAAGACAAACAACTCTGGCCTGGGGCAGAGGAGACGGATGTTGTGGACCTGCTTTAACCCTCCACTGGCTGCATGACCTTGTGGGAGTCCCGGGACCACGCTGGATATCAGTTTCCTCTCTGATAAATATAATGTTAGAAGTCCCTTTCACCACGATTTCTTTGACTTAAAAGTCTAAAGATAATTACTTTGCTTTCTTGTTGAACAGTAATGTAACTTTTCAGCAATAATATTTCCAGTTGACAGGATGACATGAAGTCAATCCATCTGAAGCCACAACTGTGCAAATATTGTCCTGTAAATATTCCAATATTTAGTTTTTTGTGTCTTTTTTTAAATCCTCAACTGAGGATATTTTTCCATTGATTTTTAGAGAGAGCAGAAGGGAGGGGGAGAGTCAGAGAGAGAGAGAAATATCAATGTGGGTTGGTTGCCTCCCGTAAAAGCCCACAACTGAGATATGTGCCCTTGACTGGAATTGAACCCAGGACCCTTCAGTCCGTGGGCTGACACTCTATCCACTGAGCTAAACAAGCTACTGAAAGCTCCTTATAAAAAAGTGTAAGTAGTCTGTCTGGTGTGGCTCAGTGGTTGAGCATCGACAGATGAATCAGGAAATCGGGGTTTGATTCCCAATCAGAACACATGCCCAGGTTGTGGGCTCTATCCCAGTGTGGAGCGTGCAGGAGGCAGCCGATCAATTATTTTCTGTCATTGATGTTTCTATCTCTCTCTGCCTTCCTTTTGAAATCAATAAAAAAATATATTTTTTAAAAAGTGAAAGTACACTTTTATATAACAATTTATCAGCAAATATTGACCATATTTAGAGTTGACCTATTTTACTATTTGTGTCCTGAACATACTAATAACTATAACTTGCCCCGAATTGTTATGTAAAATGTGTAACTTCTCATGAAGGGTTAACTGATGTATAGCGTATTCTATACACTTACCTTTTGAGAACCTAAAGCTTAGTTCTTTTTTTATTATAAAACTACTAATTTTATTGTATAACTAGACTCTTATTCTATATAAATATTTATTAAATATTGATGTTAAAGTAATAAGAAAGAAATCCAGTATAACATATTCAATGATGAACAATTTCCCACATAATATTTTTTCTCTTAAGAAAAGCAGTCTGTTGTCAATATCATGAAAGTCCCTATGTGAAAAAGGAGTTCATGTATGCTTTTGAGACCAGGTTTCTTGCAAAAATGTTTTATTCATCTGAGTCCGGAGAGGTGCTATACGTGTTCTGCACACAGGCATCCGATCCATTCTGACAGATTCAGTCCTCTGCCCTAGCTTTGCAGTTCATTTTGTGACCCGGAATAAATCGCATACAAGCCATTACTTATAAAAATTGGCAAACTTCAGTTCTAAAATAGATTTCTAAAAAAAAAAAATTCTCTCTAAATTATTGAGCTCCTGATCACAACGACGATGTAAATTTTTGTGGCAAATGAATTAAAATAAATAAAGTCATTTCTTCAACCTCCAGTGGCTCTTTTTATTCATGTTATGTTTTAAATATACACTTATCATAAGAGATAAAAGGATACATGGGAGGGCTTTTCATTTGTTGGGTTCACCTTATAGGAAAATAAATTACTTTTATTTGAAATAAAATGTCACTTCTTTATAAATCTTGTAAAATTCTAAATTCTAAATAATTGTTTCTGTCATAGCAATAGTTATTGCTAATATACTATCAGTTATCTTTATCTTGAAAAACGAAATGGTTTTATTTTTAAAATTTTCTCTCAGGAAACAAAAACATATTTTAGTAGTATCTTGGTACCTCAGCTTTTAAAGTATTTTTATGTGACAGATATGAACATGTGGCTATTCATTTATATTATAAACTGAATTCACTTTGAAAACATAGATACAGTTTAAAAAAAAGCAGTTAATTTTTCCATTATAAACTGATTCTCTGTTTATTATAAAACTTTGGATAATAATGAAGGTTAAAAATTAAGAAAAATATCTATTATAGCCTCTTTAAAGCATAGCTAATGTTTTGGTATCTATAATAATAAAAGTGGAATATACTAATTAGGCTAGACATCCTTCTGGATGACCTTCCGGACGAAGCCGGGGCTGCGAGGGAAGCCCAGGTCCAGGGTGCCAGAGGGAAGCTGGTGCTGGCAGCTGGGGGAAGGAAGGCCTACTCTTGCACGAATTTCATATATATTTCACTATATATATGAAATGTAAAAAATTTTTATTAATGCAAATTAATGAAATTAGCATGTATTTATGCAAAGTAAAAAACTGGCCTTGTTTTAAAAATCAAAGACTAATTGCAAAATTTATAACAGCAATCCCTTCCCTTTTCTATCTCTGGGTCCCTATTCCCGATTCAACAATGATTTTCAACACTTTTTAGGTGGCTTCCAATATTGTCTCCATATACAAAGATATCTGCATCCTAATCCCCAGAACCTATGAGTATGTTACCTTACATGATAAAAGGGACTTTGTAGATGTGATGAAGTTAAGGCTCTTAAGGTGGGGACATTGTCCTGGGTTGTCTGGGTGGGCTCAATAATGAAATCTCAAATCTCAAGGGTCCTTATAAGAGGGAGACAGGAGGATTAGAGTTAGTAGTAAGAAATGTAATGATAGAAGCAAGAGGTTGGAGTGATGTAAGGAAGGGGTAATGAGCCAAAGAATGCAGGAGGCCTTTAGAAGGTAAAAAAGGCAAGCAAGTGAATTCTCCCTCCAGAGTTTCCAGGAGGAATTAGCCTAGATAGGTTGATTTTGGATTTCTGGCCTCTAGAACCATATGGTGTTTGTGTTGCTTTAAGCCACTAGGCTTGTGATAATTTGTTATAGCAGCAATAGGAAACTAATACAGACTTTTATTTTATCATAGAACCCTGTTCTTATTTTTTTTTTTCATGTACAGAGTACTTTCTCACCTTTCTGAGAATATGATCTTTTTTTTTTAATCCTCCCCTGAGGATATTTTTTCTATTGATTTCTAGGGAGAATGGAAGAGAGAGTGGAGGGGGGAAAGAGAGAGAGAAACATCTATGTGAGAGAGACACATTGATTGGTTGCTTCTTGCCCGGGTCCCTACTGGAGCCTGAGAACTTGCAACAGAGGTATGTGCCCTTGACCAGGAATCAAACCTGGGACCCTTTAGTCTGCAGGCTGACACTCTAGCCACTGAGCAAACTGGCCAGGGCTGATTTTTTTTTTTTTTAATCTTCACTGGAGGACATGACTAGAGAGAGGAAGGGGGCAGGGAGAGAAAGAGGGAGAGAGAGAGAAAGAGAAACATCTATGTGAGAGAGAAACATCCAAAGGTTGCCTCCCGTATGTGCCCTGACCAGGGATGGATCCCACAGTCTAAGTATGTGCCCCAATTGGGAATCGAACCAGCAACCTCCCGGTGCACGGGACAATGCTCCAACCAACCAACTGAGCCATACCGGCCAGGGCTAGTGTCCAGTTTTATAGCATCTGTCATGGCACTGGAGACAGTGATTCAATGGTGGACTGAATTGTTTTTCATGTTCCTTCTCCACTTTCTGGGCCTCAATCTTGACACAATCTCTGTGATTGCAGGAGTGTGAGGAACTTACTACTGACACCACTTTATAGTGTTCTTATTTCCAGCTTACAAGTACTGTGAAAATATTGCTTATTAGTATCAACTACTATGCTTCTCTGAGAGGGGGCCTCCCCACAAGCCTGTGGACATCCCAGCCCTTGTGTCTAAATTCTGTTCACACACACACACACACACACACACACACACACACACACACACACACACCACATACATACATACCACACACACATACATACAACACCACTGCCACCACCAACAACAACAACCAAACAGCCATCCTTTGGCCACTCTGGAAGTGAGGTTGAAGACACTGAAATAGGGAAGTCCATGATCCTCGGTATGTGAAATGTATTCTACAAATGAAGGAGGTGGGCACAGTACAAGCTTTAGGTTGGCATGTCCCCAACATCCTGTTTGACTCCTTTCTGGTCAGGGCACATGCCCAGGTTGTGGGCTCAATCTCTGGTAGCGGGTGTGCAAGAGGCACCCGATCAATGTTCCACTCTCACATAATGTTGCTCTATCTCCCTCTCCCTTCCTCTCTCTCTAAACATCAATCAAAAAATATTTTTTAAAAATCCTTTATTGACTTCCCCTGGAACTTACAATAAATCCTAAACTCTTTACTATGACCTGCAAGGCCCAATGTGATCTGACCCTGCACCTTTCTGACCTCTCACCATTCCTTGTTCTCTACACTCACTAACAGAAAATACTCTATTCCAGAAACAAGCAATGGTGTTCCCACCTTGGGGTCTTTGCCTTTGCTGTTCTCCCTCCTCTAAAAGCTCTGCCCAAGATCTTTTCATTGCTGGTTCCTTCATATCATTCAGATCAGCTCAAACCTCACATCCTCAGAGAGCCCTTGCACATCCATGCAATCTCTCTCTCCCAGTTACTCATATTCCCATCACCGTGATTTATTGTCTTGGAAACTTGAACCATTACCTGAATAATCTTTTATTTGCTGACTTGCTCACTGTCTGTCTTCCTTCCATTAGAAGGTCAACTGCATGAGAGCAGGGATGTTGCTTGTTCACCGTGGGTATATGTTTAGAGATGAATCCATCTACACAAATAGATCTACCTCACCCATTTGTTGCTACACAGTGATGCTCAATACAGACATTCCACAACTTCATTAGCAGCAACAAATATGCTTACACATGCTTCCTTATGCACATGGGCATAAATTGCATGGGGTAGATACTGAGAATTTCCAGGACACAGGAATGCATATTTTGAATTTAATAAAAATTGACAATTTCCCCTACAAAGTGATTAAAGCAATTCCACTTCCACTTGAGGTGTATGAGCATATGTACACTTCCTCACATTGATGTTTTTAGATTTTATCCATTTTTTTGCCATCCTAAATGTGAGGGAATACTATAACTCACTGTTGTTATAACTTGCATTTTCCTGATTATTATGAAAGCCAACTATTATTGTTTCTTTATCTTACATGTATTAAGCGATTAGCACAGTATGCTTGTATTACTAAATTTTGTGTATAAATTAATCTCTTTCATTACACTAGAAGTTCCAAAAGGGCGAGATCTCCTCCATATTACCTAGAAGAGAACATAATAAGTATTCAATAAATATTGTTGATTCATTAAATGAAGACTGCAACTTTGTGAGAAGAAATGTATCAACAAGAAGAAATAGGTCAGTGATCAAATGCCTGTTTGTTTTCTGGAGGATCCTCATTTGGTTTCCTTCCCATGGCTTTAAGCAAGTGGCCCCAGAGAGACTTACCATCATCGGCAGGATAGTCTAGGAAGTCGGCTCCTTCCTCCTCTTTAGGCTGGTCTCCACCTTCTGATTCCCCAGGCTCCTCATCCACTTTCTCACTCTCTGACCGGTAGATGATAATAGATTCTGGGCGGGACTCCTTCCTCTTCTTTTTCCTGCGACCCATTGTGGATTCCCCATCCAGGGCCAGGGCAGCTGCCACGGCCTTCCTCAGAGAGCCATGGTGTGGGCTTGGAAGCTGGCCCTGACTTTCCACTGGTGCCAACTCTTCCATTTTAGTCCTCACGTCTGGTTATTCCTTGTGAAGAGTCCAACGTGCTTGGGCAAATTTACAGTCCACACATCTCAGAGATTCTTCCTGGATGGGGCTATGCAAAGATAGCCCAATGATGAGTGCAACTTGAAAGATAGGAAAGCAGAGCCATCAACAGGGGTGAGCTGAAAAGGAATTTGGGAAATGATCCTCAACTTGGCAAGTCTTCACCTCCTTTTACATCTCATAACACTTTATTTCACTTTACTTCTCATAACACTTTATTTCTGCATTTAAAAAAGAATTTAAATCTATTTTTATTGATTTCAGAGAGGAAGGGAGAGGGAAAGATAGAAACATCAATGATGAGAATCATCCATCACCTGCCTCCTGCAGACCCCCTACAGGGAATTGAGCCTGCAACCTAGGCATGTGACCTGACCAGGAATTGAACCCTGACCTTCTGGTTCATTGGTCGATGCTCAACCACTGAGCCACACTGGCTGGGCTACTAGTAGTTCTGCATTTTTGAGTGCTGCAGAAATACTTTCACAAGGCTTGATTGTAGTGAACAAAATTTTATGTGTTGCAATGATGTTTGTCATTTACAAAAACATATATATTATGTACTAGTAAACCCATCAATCTAGACAAGTATAAGGAAATTGGGTGAGGAAGCCTTACAGACAAATGGGAGTTAAGACCTTTCTTACTCCTACCATAGATGGAGATTCAGATGGCTGCAACATTGGTTGCAATGCTCCAGGCTTCTGGCTATCGAGTCATACATTACAAGCATACTCAAATGGATGAACGCAACTTTCAGTGAGGCACCCAAAGATGGCACAACTTCCCCAACCACGTATACCCTACTGTTCTACAGAGCACACCTCTTTCCTGGCTTCTTGTTGGCCCAAGATCCCAGAAAGTTCCTGGGATCTGCCCTACCACATGCTGGGAAACCAGTGGAGAGGATGCACACTTTTCACTCTTAACAGTCTTCCTTCTTCCTCTTTTGTTTGTTTGCTTACAAGGTAAAGAGAGTTTGTGGGTGGATTGTAAAATTTTAGAAATCAGGAACAGTCTTACACTTCCTCATGTCCAGTGGAAAGACCCCAGGACTCATGTAGTGGATACTTAGGGCATACTTGTTGACCTCATAGGACAGAGGAGAAGGGAAAATATCTACTTAAAAATAAGATAAGAGAAACTGTTAAGAGAGAAAGGCTTAATTATCTCCCCATTTTTATACGCTTTATTATGCTGTTAGTGTTTTATTGGGGAACTAGCTTCTGAACACTTCTCCTTCCTTTTAGATTCCATAAGATGGAGGGTAAAAAGAATTTGCTCAGTTTCCAAGACTTTCATCCATAGAATTAAGAGAAGAGAAAGGACTGCTCTTTTCCCTGGAAGTTGGGCTTCACCCATCCTCCACCTCCATTCCCAGTCTGAAGATGATCAGTGAATGTGATGCTGTACAGTGTGACCTTCAATAATTAGGGCCCTGGTTTCACATAGAGCAGCGGTTCTCAACCTGTGGGTCGCGACCCCTTTGGGGGTCGAACGACCCTTTCACAGGGGTTGCCTAAGACCATCGGAAAACACATATATAATTACATATTGTTTTTGTGATTAATCACTATGCTTTAATTATGTTCAATTTGTAACAATGAAATTGGGGATCACCACAACATGAGGAACTGTATTAAAGGGTCATGGCATTAGGAAGGTTGAGAAGGTTGAGAACCACTGTCCTAGGGGGTAAATAGGTTTTAAAGAACATGCTCAGACTCTAAAACTCATGCTTAAAATAACTGGTTTTAAGCATTCTTGAAGGCAACTTTCCAGAATTTTTAACTTCATCTACCACTTTTCCCATACCCATTGTTATACCACTTTGGTCTACTAGCCATCATCTCTTATCTATGGTTCTAAAACATGTTCCTTATCTTCTGGCTTCTACTCCTGCTGTCTTCCAATCAATTCTCCACTCAGTAGTTAGAAAGATCTTCTGAAAGCATTAATACAATCACCACCAAGTTCGCATAAAGCTTAAAACCCTCCAGGTACTCTCCACTGTTAAAAAAAGAAATGCACATGGCCTAAGGACCTGCATGACCCAGCCTCTTCCAGTCCTGCTTCTCTATGCTCTACCACTTTTTCATCTATGCCTCCAATGCTTGATCACACTGGCTGCCCATTATTCTTCAAGAGCACTAACTGCTTTCCCTCTTGAAGTCTTTTTAAAAATATATATATTTTTATTGATTTCAGAGAGGAAAGGAGAGGGAGAGAGAGATAGAAACATCAATGATGAGAATCATTGATCAGCTGCTTCCTGCATGCCCCACACTGGGGATCAAGCCTGCAACCTGGGCATGCGCCCTGACCAGCAATTGAACTGTGACCTCCTGGTTCTTAGGTTGACGCTCAAACACTGAGCCACACCAGCCGGGCCCTCTTGAAGTCTTCTTAAATGCTATCTACCACAGGGCTGGTATGCTGCGCCACCCCTGGCCCTTCACATGGCCATAGCCTTTATATCCCCCACAGCTTTCCTGACACCAAACCTAAAATAGGCCCCCTGCTCTGCCTTTCATTATTCCTTTTCATTATAGCCTATTTCTTGTATAAGACATCAACATTTGTAATTAAGTCTTATTTGTTATTTTACTTGTTTGTTGTCTATCTCCTCTACTAGACTATAAGCTCATACAATTAGGCCAACAAGTAGGTTTTCAACAAAATATTTTAAGTGACTGTATTAATAATTTGGGGGTGGGGGGTGACATGGTAGCAATTAAGGATTAGCCTGATTTTGTCAAAGACCAAGGTTAAGGAAAAGTTTAATAAAGAGACATTAATAAGCTCTTATGCTTAATAAGCTCAATTCTGGTACAATTGTTAAGTGCTACATCTATATCTATTTTCTTCTTTAATAATGGAGGTTTTTAGTTGATCACATGACTTCCCTGGTAAAGATAATATTTCCCAGCATTCCTCAAATATAAGTGTGATCATGACTAATCTTTGGCCAATGGGATGTGAGTAAATGTGATATGTGCAACTTCCACATCTGCACCTCTCCTCTTTTCACTTTCTTGAGGGCTGGAATGTGAACTTGGTGAGTCATCTTCAACCATACAGACAAGGGAAAACCTGTAGGGATGGCAGAGGAATGAGGAAGAAGGATTAAAAGCCACCCTCTTCCTCTGGACTGTAATATGAGAAAAAATGTATTTATTTTGTTTCAATCCAGGGTTATTTTGGCATCTTGAGGCAGCCACACAGAAATCTTAACCAATACACTGGGATTGCCCACGGTTATTTTATGTCCCAACCCCTCTGCTGTGTTCCAAGTTATCAGCCCTGGGGCATAAGCAGATTTTGATATGCATCTTAGAGTTAGATCATAAAATGGCATCACCCATTTTACGGTTCAAGCAGTTTTGATTCTTCTGGGTGGGCCAGGAATTCTGAATCTCAGCAGGCCAATACAAAGGATACTACATTGATGCTGGCTTAAGCACCACCAGGAACCCACTGGAGAGCTCAATACACTGTACGATACTGTTATGGAATGAATATTTGAATCCCTCTAAAATTCATATGTTAAAATTTTAACCTCCAATGTGATGGTATTAGGAAGTGGAGTCATGGGGAGGTGATTAGGTTATCAGGGTGCACCACTCATGAATGAGATTAGTGCCCTTATGAAAGAGACTCCGGAGAGTTTTCTTGCTCTTTCTGTCATGTGAGGTCAGAGCAAGAAGCTGGACACCTATGAACCAGGAAGATGTCTAATAACCAGGCTCTCACCAGACACTGGATATGCCAACACCTTGATCTTGGACTCCCAATCTTCAGACTATGAGAAAAAAAAATTTCTTTAAGCTATCCATACTTTTATTATAGCAGCCTGTACAGATTGATACAGAGACTATTCTCTGCTTGTAATGAACTGGCCAACAGTGCTTTCGTGAAGAAATGCAGGTCCATTTGGCATGGATTGCCTGAAATTTCATTTGAAAAATCCTGACTTTAATTGTTGCAATTAGTTCAAATTTGTAGGGAGCGGCTATAGCAGTGGTTCTCAACTTTCCTAATGCCGCGACCCTTTAATACAGTTCCTCATGTTGTGGTGACCCCAACCATAAAATTATTTTCGTTGCTACTTCATAACTGTAATTTTGCTACTGTTATGAATCATAATGTAAATATCTGATATGCAGGATGTATTTAGGCAACCCCTGTGAAAGGGTCATTCGACCCTCAAAGGGGTCGCGACCCACAGGTTGAGAA